CTTCTTTTTTTTCTGCCTCCGACACGCCTCCCTGCCACACCCCCCCCCCCCCCCCCCCCCCCCCCCCCCCCCCCCCCCCCTCCTGCAGACAGAGAGCGCAAATACGCGCTACATAAATTCTATTTGGGCGCATTGGCGAGCAAGATGGCGCTCCTGCCTGTCAGCACCTCGGACAGCTCCCGGCGGCTTTGACTCTAAACTGAGTCTGTTTGATTTGTTTTACATTTATTTGCGGAGGTGGAGGTGTCACGTGACTACTCTGGTTCGGTCAGAGCGTCCAGATGATTGCGACTGCATCCAGGTGTCGCGTGAAGAAGCTGTGCGCTATTAGCTGCAGCCAGAGAGGGAAATCAAATTCTGGATCAACTTGACTGCTGAACAGGACTTCCTCCTCCTCCTGCTCCTGCTCCTGCTCCTGCTCCTGCTCCTGCTCCTCTGCAGCCACAGTCTCGATTGAAGAGTTCAGGAGGAAGACATAAATCCACCGGCCTCGGCCTGCGGTGACTTCACACCGGAAAAGGAGCGCGTTTCTGTCCGCGTCTGTCTCAGTCGCGCCGGTGTGAGATGGAGGGGCGCGCAGAGAGATCACGAGGGGAAATGAAGCTGTGTTCAAGAAATAGTGTTGCCTAGCTCTTTGCCACCCGAGCCCTGCAGTTTTACTTTTTAAATACATTTTTTTAAAACACCGATATGAAGACGTTGGTGCTCCTGGTGACGATGTCTTCGGTGGTTTTCAGCCCCGGCTTTGCCCTCAGCTCCCATTTCAGCTCAGGTGAGCCGACATTCCGCTAACATCCCAGAATAATGCTGTTAATGTGCTGTTATCTGTTAACACTCGTTCTTTCTGCATGAACACTATCGGTTGCCGATAAACGCCTACACATCAGTACAGGATTTAAACGGCGCAGTTGTCCTCATATGCAATTGTCAGCGCTATGTGTCCTTGCGTGTGCGTCCGTATTGATGTTTTTGCATAAAATGAAAAGCGAGCTGGGGAAACATCATGTGTGATTAACGGTCTTTTTTTAAGATGCTCTGATATTTGTTTCTCAGGTCAGATGGGCGTAAAGCTGCAAAGCATATTAAGGTGAAAGGCAGACGTGAAGGTGAAAGGTGAATTGTGGGAGCAGAAAGGCTTCCTCTAATTGGAGCAGGCGTGCAGCTGGTGTTATCCAATTAGTGCTGGGAAAGAACAGGATTGTGGGAGATGATGAATGGAGGCAGAGTGCCTCATTGTTTCTCACATCCATCTTGGAAATAAATCAGAAATCCCTGCAAAGCGACCGTCTATTTTATCATTATGCAGCATAAGCAGCTACTGTCATTCAGATGGTTCCTAGGCAACCAAAAGGTGCAGCAGGCTTTCTCGTCTCCAAAAAATGGGTTTTCCCCACAGAGCCAAAGCATCTCCTAGAGTTGCATCGTCGTGAGGACATCAAACAGAAGCCTGTTTAATCCTGGTTTTTGTTTTAATCCTCGCTTCAGTGGGTCTCTGCTGCCTTTCCTGTCACGGCCACCTTGGTGTCATAATGCCTGCTGCCCTTTTTACAGCTGCATGAATCCTTTCCAGCGTTTGAGTCTCAGCAGCAGTTGGTTTGTACCAGATGAAGCTTTTCATTTTCTCCTTCGTCTTTCTTTTTGTTTGTTTGTTGCACTCTGCCTCCAAACCACACGTTTACAACGTGTGGATGTGACGGCTCATTTAAATGTTCTATTTTTAACTCAACTGGTAATTCTGACTGAGTGTGTGTGTGTGTGTTACTTGTGTTCTAATAGACCTACAGCTGCCAGTTGTGCTTCTTGTATTCATTTCACCAGATTGAGATAAAATGTGTTTTACGATGGTGATCTGAGATGGCAGCAGTTGAGCGCACGTTGATTTCATACATGCAATTCAAAAAACAGCAGACATTACATACAGAGTACAAACTACAGTCTGAGAAACTACATCCAGCCTGTGAAGGACTAAAGACTCCTCTTTACAGACTAAATGCACTTCTTTCTTTAAAGCAAACATCTGTCAGTCTTTGTCATGGAGCTGACCACGGTGCTGAAATCGTGACGGGGGATTATTTTTAGGAATATTCCGATACTTTTAATCCCAGATTGCGCCCTCCATTGTAGAAACATGGAGTCTGGCCACACATCCTGTATTATGACAAGCTTTCCAAATATTACATTTCATATATTGGACATATTACGTATCCAGTATGAATCATTTCAAAGGCTTGTCTCTGAGTTTGACATAGACGAGGCCTTGGATCAGCTGTTGAAGCTAACTGTGTGGAGATCTTCTTCAAAGCCAGTGTGTTGATGTGTGTGAGCTTGTTGGTCGCTGCTGACTTACACAGAACGGTCTCAATCACGAAAAGACTTTTCCTTTAAACCACGTCTTGTTTTCACACTTAAAATAGCTTCACGATCTTCTTATTCAACGCTGACCGACAGTCTGATAAACAATATCTTGTTCTGGGCATCATTTTACACAGTTCCCCCAAATTCCCCCCTCACATATGTGGTATCTCTGGATATATGTGATGTTTGACAGCAGGACGGTGGGCTTTAAAAGAATACATCCATGAGGAGGCATGCAGTCATGGGATTTTATTTAGTTTGATGGTTCATTTCTGGTTTGTTGTATGTTCTAATAATTGTTTGTCTTCATCGTCTTGTTGGTAAATGTCGGTACATTTGCTGATTTTCTTGGTCTTTGAATATATCAAATGTAATTTGTTATCTGGACGTCTGAATATCAGACAAATCAAGCTTTTTGGAAACGTCAGAAACTTGTGATGGCATTTCCCACCATTTTCTTTATAGAGTAAACGGTTAATGGGTAAAATAATTGGTAGACTATTTTGATCTTCAGTTTGCAAACTCACTCATTATCATTTTTCTTTTCATAAAGGTCCTACTAGATATGCAGTTTTCCTTCAGCCAGGAGATTGTCCATCCGTTCCTTATTAAGTTCATATTTTCACCGGACAGAGCTGGAGCTGCTGGTCGTATCCGAGCGTATTCTGTTTGTTTGTCTGAGGGAGCATCAGCTGCACAGATGAGTTTAATGAAGGGAGGTGGATGCGAGGGAAAGAAAATGAAAAGATGGAGGCAGAGAAGAAATGGGAATGTCAAAGCAAGAAAGCAAATCAAAGAACAAAAAGAAGGAAGGGAAGGAAGGTGCTTGTCCTGTGGCTTGGATCTTCTTCGGCCACTGCGTTTGGGGGCGGGTCTTGGAATGACATCACTGCCCAGTTAAGGCAGGGCTTGGTATCAGTGGTGGTGGAGGGGGGGGTTCATTATTACTGGCAGTGCTGGCTGCTTTCCCAGGCCCCAGGTTATCCATTTCACATCTCTCAGTGGGCTCCTGGCTGCGCATACAGAGGCACACTCTCATTATACGGACACAAAAGCACGACACGGTTTGTTTGAAAGCCCAGTGGACTTCCCTTTCTCCGGGCTATCGAGACACTACCGGGTCCGGGTGCTGGAGGACACGAGCATGGAGCTTATTGAGCAGGTAAACCCAGAGGATGCTGGCTTAAAGGACGTCTGGAGTAGATGTAGCTGGAGGTTAGCTTTCTGTAACTTGGTCAGAGATGGGATTTGATTGAGAAGCTGCATCATTTTCAAAGTATGTACAGTAGATGTATGTTTCAGAATAAATGGTGAGCAGTTGGCAGGCTGAAGAAGTGGAGACCACAAAGCTGTGGCTATGAATTGGATTTGTGCCATTTACAGCAATTGAAGCGCCTCTAAAAGCTTTTCCCCCCCGATCACCTCGAAACGTCCCGTTAGCAACAACTCCCCGACACTCGTCTGATCTGAGCCGATGAACAGCACCGCGGTGGTCCATTTGTTTTTTGGTCTGTTTCTGTGGAGCAGAGTGTTCCGAACATAATCGTTCCCATAAGTGAGGCTGCTGAGTGCTATACTCTACCTCTTTGTGTGCGTGTGTGTGTGTGTGTGTGTGTGTGTGTCTGGAGAATAAGAGCCTCTGATTGTACAAAAACTAATTTGGTTGAAGGATACAAACTGACTTGTTCTCATTCGACTCCGCCTCTACTCACATTCATTTGAGTGATTAAAGCGAGTTCCTGTCAACCTCGAACGAATGGAAGGGGGCGTAAACATCCTCCAGTCACAACACAAACACAGTCGTACACACACAGGCTCATCAATGAGGCTGGAACAACAGAGCAGTTCACTTTGCTTCTAAAAGCGCTGAGCTTTATCGAACATCATTTAAACCTGATCGGGATCAATATCCTCTGTGTGTTTTATACTGTATCAGATAACAGGTTACCACTTATTGTCTTCATCGTTTAATGAGGAAACTACACTTTCAATTACTCCAGTAATCTTTATAGAGTCCATCAAATATCTAAAATTAGTAAAAAATGAAAAGCAATAAAGGTGTTAGATTGCTTAATTTTATTGTTTATTTTAATTTTCAATGATAAAACAGAGAGAAGTTTAATTCTCACAATCTAGCATTTCTGCTTGATAAGTGACGACTGAGCAACTCCAAAGAATAACCTGTTGATCGAGTAATTGCAGCAGTATTCAATTACAAAATCGAGTCTATTATTTAGTTTTGCCCTAAATGCAAATATACAGTATGTTTACCAAACCACGTGGTCCTTTCATACAGACTACTTATTTATAGAATCGTCAGAAAACCAGCAAGCTCAATCCTCGTGCTGTGTATCGTCATCGAGACGTGAAAACGACGCCATGGCTCTACGACGCTCCAATCAGCCGCCAACAACATCCACCGTCACTGTTTACTCGTATATGGATACTTGGAGCGGTGACTCTGGTTTGATCAGGAATCCTTCATTGAAGGAGTTTGTCAGTGTACACGTTTTCTTTGTTTTGTATATAAAGTGTAAAGCATATGAAATATATAAAGATATAATGTGTAAATAAATATTTACGTAGCCTAATTCTCTGAACAACGCTGTTGTCTTTTCCATAGTTCTTATGAATTCTCCTTCACATCTTAATAATTATTGCGTCAAAGGAGAAGCGGTTAGCGAAAGTCTTCATTGACTATATTACCACATGTGCTGTGTTGCTAAAGAGCGAGTTCACCCTCGTGCTACTTATTTACAGACTAACTGATTAATCAAGAAAATAATCCTTCAGATTAATCAATCAAAATGATGATTAGCTGTTCTATCAATGCTTGTTGTATTTTAGTGTCGTGTTTTATGTGGAAATCGGTTTATGGTTCATTTCTTTCTTACTGATGAAACTTACTGGAGTTTCAGATTGAAGTCTGCTCACAAACCTTTAATAGACTAGAAGCAGCAGTAAAACAGTGACGCTGATGATGACGATGACGCTGATGATGATGATGATGATGATGATGATGATGATGATAGACTGCTGAAGCTTGAGGTTCATTACAACTTTAACCTCAACGGGAGTCAAACCGTGTTATTTTATCTCTTAATCCTCACATTGAGAGTTTCATGCTCGCCGCTGCTCTGATCTCTGATGCAGGATCTCTGCCGTGGTGCCCTTGAGCAAGTTTTACTAGCCGATATTAAAGCGCCTGGGTTGGTGTTTCAGCACAATGGACAAACCGTAAGTATGTTTAAAATGCATTTTTTGGGCGTTAGAAAGTGGTATCACAGCAATTGTTACACTCGTGTGTCATCACGTCTTCCATCCGTCTCTCTCAACAGAACTCCAGACTGACAGGCCGCCTCACTCATCGCTGCACTGAGTTGCCTCAAAATACAACCATTCGCTCTCCGGATGAAATCATGCGAGCTATTATTTCTCTTATTACTTTGCCTGCCCAGTGTAATTATGGAATAATTTCATTTCCTGGTTCCTTTTTAGCCTCTCAGCTGAGGCATTAACGCAAATCGATTGGCTATGGAGCGACGCTCGGTTAGAGAGACATCCAGTTATCATCTCTGCTCTGTTTAGTCTGTTTGCACAAGAGAGGCTAATCACTAGACTCAAAGACAGCAGAGTCAACAGTTGAGTGGAGTACTGCGCATTCAATCAATACACGAGCTAGTGATTCATGTTGATGCTGCTCGTGTCCTCTTTGGGTTTTTAAAACCATAAACTTTCCCGTTTTCTGTCACTCTTGTCTTCTGTGTCCTCTTTAATGTAGCTCTCTTTGACTTCCCTGTTTCTCTCTTTCTAAACCTCTCTCTCTCCATATATATACATACATATATATATACATATATATATACACATATATACATGTATCCATCCATCTCCACGCTGTGGACGCCCTCCCAGTCCCTGCAGTATCACAGCAGGCTGTTAAGTCTGTGATTTAGAAGGATTCATCGCTGGCCACGCTCGGCTGGCTGAGAAACGGGCTGATTGGTTCAGACTAGTGTGTCCTGATAGTTGTGTGGAAATGTAAGTTGTTAGAGGACAAGGTTGCTGATTGGTTTTGAGCACAACAATGACATCATTTCAGCTGTATTTGTGAATGTTTCTACTGTTTTTGTACTTTATTCAACATCTCTCTTGGAGAACAAGATGCTGTTACTGATGCAGAGAAATCACTCAGAATGATATAAATAGTTTAGAACCTTCTGATCCTCGTTCATTTGTTCTGAACTTTTGTCAAACCACATCCACTGATGAAAACCACAGCACACTCACTCCAAACCACACAACTGTTTTATTTTGTTAGACCACATGTCGATCCCAGTAAAGTCTACCTGAGCGGAGAATGAAGCCTCTCTCCCTCTGTGTGTGTGTGTGTGTGTGTGTGTGTGTGTGTGTGTGCGTGTTGTAATCACAGCTTCTTCTTGCTTTGTTGACATTGCCGGTCGGCCACGTGCATGTCAGTGCATGTGAGGGTGCACCACTCCAACAGCGTCCGCGTGGTCCCTAACCACCCTCCTGTTCCCACTCAGGTAACCACTGTTAGCTCTGTTAGCTCTGTTAGCACTGTTAGCTCTGTTAGCACTGTTATCATTGTTTGCACTGTGCGCTGTTAGCTCAGCCGTCGCCATGTTGAGGGCCGTGTGGAGGCACTATGCTCTCAATTCCGTGTTATTAAAAGTGTATTAGTACACGTCACTGTTGTACCTGCAGAGATCTGCTTTATGTTAGATCTGCGTGGCGGTCGCTCTGTGAGGTGACAGCCACTGAACACCCACACAGCTGATACGCCACCACATGCGTCAGTAGTTACAACACAGCAGATACTCCCTCAGACGTCTCCACAGCAACACATCTCACTTAATCAGTGTTGTCATTCATTACAGGATTCATTCAGCATTTCAGAACTCTGCCCGATCAAGGTCTGAGTGAGTCAATACAACGAGTCTCTCTCTCTCTCTCTCTCTCTCCCTCTCTCTGTCTCTCTCTGTCTCTCTGTCTGTCTCTCCCTCTGTCTCTCTCTCTCT